TATAACTGGAACATTTAAAAATGAAAACAATAAGCTATTAATAAATACTATAAAACACGTTCTTTATGACAAAACCTTGCATTTATAAGGTTTCAGGTTTCACAGGTTTCAGCTCATAAATTTTTTATAAAATATCAAAACTTGATATATTGTTTTTTCACTCGGAATTGTCAGCAACATGCAAGTCTGTTTTTGAAGCATAGAAATGTACATGTGCATTTATACTGTATTTGTAGGAGCTACAGGACTTGCAACGGGATCCACCCTCGCAGTGCTCAGCTGGACCACTCGGAGAAGACTGTAAGTGTGTCTACTAACTGTGTACTTAATACTGACCTTTAATATTTTAACAGGATGGTTTACTCAACATATTATATTTACAATTTCAGTGTTTTACTGGCAGGCGACAATAATGGGCCCAGTAAGTACACATGAATAATTCCAGGTTAATTTTCTGAAATAAGTTATTGGCTCAGTAAAACAAAGGAACTGGCTCCTGTCATCCACAAACACTCTCTTTTTATCTCCCCTAGAGTGATAGTCCATATCAGGGAGGGGTTTTCTTCCTCACAATCCATTTCCCGACTGATTATCCCTTTAAACCACCAAAGGTGAGTGGAGAATTACATCTGTTCTTACCCTTTCCATAAATTATTTGTTATTATTATAGATATTTGACACCATGTTGCTGATAGGTTGCCTTCACAACAAAAATCTACCACCCGAATATCAACAGCAATGGAAGCATCTGTTTGGACATTCTGCGCTCCCAGTGGTCACCCGCCCTCACGGTATCCAAAGGTTAGAGAGCACAAATATGGTTTAGCATTATGGCACATGAAGTGACTTTTTTAAATTCAATATGGTACTTTTATAAACACCACTAAAATGATTCAGCTGTTTTCTATTGCTGTTTTTTCAGTTTTATTATCCATATGCTCCCTCCTTTGTGACCCGAATCCAGATGACCCTTTAGTTCCAGATATTGCACACATCTACAAATCGGACAAAGATAAGTAAGTGACCTTATGTAAATGTCTCTCTTACACTCTTTTATTTGTAAAATAGCTATATCTGTATGAACCTTCTTGTTCAGTCTGGTTTAATCAAAGCTGCATTTCCATATATTTTCTACATTCTCTTCTTTTATTACTATCAAGCAATATGTAAAATGTTTGAGAACCAAATGAATCTGAATCCTTCATTTTTCAAAGTGTCTATTCTTGTCTTTTAGGTATAACAGACTGGCAAGGGAATGGACTCAGAAGTATGCGATGTAACTGGATGGCAAGCTTTTGAAATGGTTGCACATGGACACTATTACTGCACACGACTCTGCAACGCACCTGTACAGAGATAAGACGTTTACCAACAGATGAACCTCCCCCAACACACACACACACACACACACACACACACACACACACACATATACATATATACACGCACAACTTCACAGAAAAAAACTTCAGGAGACTGAGTCAATTGTCCCTGTTCACAGAGGCATCCTGGAACAACCTGTCAGTTAACACATAACAAAAAATATTGTTTATTTTCCAATGGATTAGTTACATTATAGTAATTTTATTGTATAGAAATAAAAACAATACTGGATCATTTTTATTGTTTTTGCATTAAAAGGTGTTATTATAAAATGTGTCTCACTGCAGTTGTTTTATGATATTGTTTGAGAATGATATGTTTTCCATATCTGTGTGATTTTGGAATTAGTTGGCATTAGAGATGAAACTACTCACTGTGCTCACATTTAACCCTTGTGCGCTCCTCATTTGGGAGTCACACTCATGGTCTTTGCGGTCAAAAGTGACCGGACACCTGAAATGTAACTTTTTTTTTCTTCAGTAAAATCAATCTAATATATTTTTGTTCAATAATATTTTTTTCTTTTGTAATCTGAGAGAATTTCATGGTACTAATGAATATTTATGCAATAATTATGATACATTTTTCTCATAGAAAATAGTATCAAAATTTTTTTTTACAATCAATGCAGTATTTCAGATTAAAATAGAGACTAGGCCTTTAAAATCCAATTTTTTAAGGCAGAATAGCACCTCCTGGTGAGAGCAAAAAAAGAAAAACCTGTAATTTCAAAAGGTGTTATTATAAAATGTGTCTCACTGCAGTTGTTTTATGATATTGTTTGAGAATGATATGTTTTCCATATCTGTGTGATTTTGGAATTAGTTGGCATTAGAGATGAAACTACTCACTGTGCTCACATTTAACCCTTGTGCGCTCCTCATTTGGGAGTCACACTCATGGTCTTTGCGGTCAAAAGTGACCGGACACCTGAAATGTAACTTTTTTTTTCTTCAGTAAAATCAATCTAATATATTTTTGTTCAATAATATTTTTTTCTTTTGTAATCTGAGAGAATTTCATGGTACTAATGAATATTTATGCAATAATTATGATACATTTTTCTCATAGAAAATAGTATCAAAATTTTTTTTTACAATCAATGCAGTATTTCAGATTAAAATAGAGACTAGGCCTTTAAAATCCAATTTTTTAAGGCAGAATAGCACCTCCTGGTGAGAGCAAAAAAAGAAAAACCTGTAATTTCGTTGTGTAACCACTAGGTTCCTATATAGGACCATAGGCATAAATAAAAAAATGTATGTCTTATAGGACGCTATCTGCTTGTTAAGTCTGACATCACGTGTCACCGCTTCCGTGTTCAAAAGCTCTATCAGATACCACGAGAAAACAACAAAAGGTGCTAATATACTCACAATGTGATGTAATACTACAAAAAAAATTATAATCCTAACCTTTAACTCCATACCGAAATCCCAGATAGCTAGACAATGAAAATATAAATAAATAAATATACAAATTATTTTTGTTTGGGACGCTGTGAGCATGAAGACTGTAGTGTAGACCGTAAGTTTGAAAACGTTTAGCTTAAATGTTTAATATGAATAAACGGCTGCTGAGATAGTATTCTCAAGTGAAGCGAGTTGAGGCTTGGACCCGGAAACAGCGCTTCTTACGTCACCACTTAACAACCGAGAGGCTTGTGAATTCCCTAGCTGTTTTTAGACATACTTGTTTACTTTTATTATGTTGTGGATTTAAATGTATATTAAGGCATTCTCAAAGACTACTTTCTTTTTAAGTGTAGGTTTTTGCATTATTATTATTACTACATTCAAACCTGAACACAGAAAGCATTGTGTTACACAAAACATTAAAATTCTATAAAAAATGTAACAAAATTTAACAGGAATGCTTTATCAGAGCTTAATCCTTCTGGGTCTGATCTGATTTTAACCTCTTATTTCAGTCTTCTGACTCATTTTGTCTGTATGGTTATAGCCATACCAATTCATTTGAGTGTGTATAATTCTGTATGTGTGTGTCTGTGAGTGTGTGTGTGTGTGTGAGAGTGGATGTATCCGTTTTACACTCTTGATGTTTTAGAGTGTAACCCCTTCCTTGCTGTCCACTTTTTTTACTGCATTGTAGTTGAATTATTGATTTTGTTTTACATAGTTGCAGTGTTACAGTCACACCAGTTCATAGGTGTGTGTGTGTGTGTGTGTGTCCGCGCGTGTGTGAGATGGTGTGTTGATTTTGCACTCTAGATGTTTTAGTTTCACCCCTTCATTGCTGTGCAATTTTTTCTGCATTGTGGAGGATTTGTAGATTGTACACATAAAAATGTTCTGTATTTTCGATTTCCCCTCCCCCCCATTTCACATTCCTTTCCTATGGTCGGTCATTTTTGACCGAAGACCATGAGTGTGACTATTTTTTTTACGACCACCTAGCTTTTTCGAATAATGCCCTCAATTTTTTTTCTGTGTTCACATACCAAGTGTCATAAAAGTCACCAAGTTTTGTACCATTCTGGTGAAGCTACGATTTTAAAAATTCAAAATGTAAAATTCTCCGGTCAGAAATGACCGAAGACCGCACAAGGGTTAATTCTGCGTCGCAGCTTTGTGCCACTAGATGGCGATATTCATCCGTTTTATCCCCACCATAAGGTTTTTAGTACTAGTACTCAACACTGGCATTTAATACTTTGACAGGACGGTCTGCTCAGTATATTATATTTGCACTTTAAGTGTTTCACTGGCAAGCGACAATAATGGGCAAAGTAAGTACACATGAATAATTCCAGGTTGATGTTTATTTTATGAAATTAGTTATTGGCTCAATAAGACAAAGGAATTAGCTTCTATTATACACAAATTCTCTCTTCCCATCTCCCCCCAACTTCAGTAAGGTCAGTAAAATTAAATATTTGGTTTAAAATACATGTGAAAATTTCCTACAAATGTAAACATCTTTGTCCATGTTCATACATTTGGAAAGAACTTGTTTTCGACAAAAAGGTTGATTTGTTGACTAAAAATGTCAAGTAATGTCCTTATGAAATAAACAGTTTATCTTACAGAAAATATCCTAAAAATACAAAGAAATGTAAGTTAATCTATCTATCTATCTATCTATCTATCTATCTATCTATCTATCTATCTATCTATCTATCTATCTATCTATCTATCTATCTATCTATCTAACTATCTATCTATTTGTGTAAGTTAATCTATCTATCTATCTATCTATCTATCTATCTATCTATCTATCTATCTATCTATCTATCTATCTATCTATCTATCTATCTATCTAACTAACTATCTATCTATTTGTATGTATGTATGTATGAATGTATGTATGAATGTATGTATGTATGTATGTATGCATGTTTTCCTAGAGAGTTGCAGTAACTGGACATTTTTAACTGTAAGGTCAAAAAGTCAAGTTTTTTTAAAATAAAGAAATAAATACATTTAAATAAAATACGTTTAATTCCGGAGTTGAAAACGTGCATCATAGAAACAAAGAAAATGCGCATGCAAGTCGTTTTGTAAGTAACTCATTTCAAAGTGTTTTATTTTGCGCGCGTGCAGGGTAAACTGGATATGATGATGAGAAAGTTTTGGGAGCAGAGTGGGCGGTGATCCTCCTGACACGTGAAAGCTCCCGCAGGACCATAATCCGTCCATGCATCCATGTCCTCCAACTATAGTGCGTTCTGGTCCTGGAGCCAGAGGAAAAGTGGAGGGGTGAGGAATCTAGGGGCAGATTGATTTTCTCGGGGGCAGTAACTGGCCAGAGTGGCTTTAAGGGACTTCAAAGGCAGGATTGGAAAAACTTGCCTGGAAATCGGAATGTTTTTCTCCTAATGTTGACTTGCCGTTTGCCTCTTTCACATATAAACCCCGTTTAGTAAGTTTGAAACACTTTAAGGCGCAAAATGGCTGAGCCGCTGAGTTTCATGCATCATGATCAGGGCTCCAGCAGCGAGCGGAGTGACGACTCACCGTCTGCCGTGTCTGAGGATGACTCTAGCGGCCACTGCGGCCACATCTCCCCGCCTGACCCAGACTGGACCGAGGAAAGGTTTCGAGTTGACCGCAAGAAACTAGAAACTATGTTACTGGGTATGTTAACATTTTCTTAAACATTTTCATAAAGAACTGGGAACACAATTTGATATCTTGAAAATACGTTTAGCTAACCTCGCAGTGTTGCTTGGCGTCGAGAAGCATAAATAGTTCTGTCTAAAAATATCACAATGTTTCCTCGAAGTCCATCTTGAAAGAGATGTGTTGAGGACACTGCTTGTTGTGTAGGACATGAAAACCAGCACTGGGATGTTATTTAGTAGCCAAGTTCTACAGACATTCACATTAACTAGCAACAATTTTGGGTAACTTTGCACTGAATTTAATAATAAGCTTAGGATGATGCATTGACTCTGTATATGATATATATTTAAGCTTCTTATGTTCAATTGGTACTAATATGTGGATGTTAGACGTTCATAACACACCATAGTTAAGAAAGAAGTTTATTATTGGAGTGTCATAAAAGTCTTACATTAATACTTGCCCAATTCCAATCATTTCAATGCATTCAGCAGGATCACAATAAAATGTCAAATGTAAGTTATGAATATGAGATCAATATTACTGATCCATCGAAAGATCAATATTACTGATCCATCAAAAGCATCACTGTCACAGTTACACACATACTGGTTTCACTATACCAGTGAGAAAATCTCATAGATGCTGTGGTTTTTATACAGAGGTGATCAAGTTTGCTCTACCTTAAATTTAAAGGGATAGTTCACACAAAAATGAAAATTCTGGCATCATTTACTCATCCTCATGTCATACCAGAACTGTATGAATTTCTCCTGTGAAACACAAAATAGATTTTAAAAAAACAAACAGCTTTGGTTACTGTTGACTTATGTTGTATGGAAAAAAAACTCAACTCAACTCGACTCAATTTTTATTTATAAAGCACTTTCAAAACCATTAAAATGGACCAAAGTGCTGTCCATGAGTAAAAATAATACTAAAATACATGCAAACATAAAATAACAACAACACATAACATATGTGTTAACATAACATAACAGAAAAACATGCAGCCAATCCCTCACAATTCTCCGACCTAATTAAATGCCGAAAAAGACAAAAAACAAAAACAAAAAACACTGATACATTTCTTAAAATATGTTCTTTTATGTTCCACATAAAAAAAGTCATACAGGTTTGGAATGACATGAGGGTTAATAAATGAAGACTTTTCATTTTTTGGTTGATCTGTCCCTCATAAAAACCTGTTTATTTCTTTAGATTTTGAAGCAATCACTATATTTCACTATATTTGTAAGACTATTGTTAAATATTTGGGCCACACACTATAGCCAAACTTGTGCATTCATACAAACACATACTTTTGAATTTATTCTAGTGAGGAACTCTCATAGACACAGTGTTTTTTCATACTAGGATAATGATATTTACTATTCTAACCCTAAACCAAACCTTCATGCAAACCTGTTGACATTACATTTGTAAAATATAATTTAGCTGATGTATGAGCATTTCAAATCATAAGGACCACTTCACTAGTTGGCTTTCACCATGTTTAACTAAATTTTCACAAATTTGGCCCTCACAAGTGCAGCCAAACCTGTACACAAACACACACAGACATTTTTCAAGCAACATCATCTGGTTAAAGCTTATAATTCAACACTTGCATCATATTTTACAGTCAGTCTGTCAGCAATGGACAGTTTACTTTACTGCAGAATAATGTTCAGTTCGTTTTGTTTTTCTTTTGTTGTAACTTCAGCAGAGGAGAATTTTAAACAAGTTTATGTATTACAAGTTGAGTTCAGTGGTTTGGTATTGGCATATTCTAAACATGTACAAAATGTTTGGTCTTTTATAGCAGGCCCTCTAGTTTAAGTCTGTGCCTTTGTTACCATACCTTCAAAGCAACCAAACTCAAGATAGTTATATAGACATAAATGGTATATACATGTATATGCATTCCTTTGTGAGTATTTTATTGAATAAATAAATGATGACAGAGTTTTCATTTTTGGATAAAATATCACTCACAAAAACTGTTTATGTCTGTAGATTCGAAGTAAAACAACCACTTAAAATGCCCTCACGAGTCAAAAATGTCACTGTATTTGTGCAAATATTTCCAAATCTTTCATCACAGGTATATCCAAACCTGTACATTAATACAAACACAGACTTTTGAAGTTATGTAAGTAAGGACGTGTCATAAGCGCAGTGTTTTTTTGTACTAGATAATGATATTTATTATATTCTAATATTTTGTTGCATTTTACATAGATATGCATTGTAAAAATAAAAAAAAACTGAGACCCTCAGTCCCCTTCCACCACCTTTGTCTTCATGTGTGCGATTGCATGAGTGAATGCTTCCTTGATATTTGGACCCCAAGGTCAAAGGTCAGTTCAGCATGAGAGAGCTTAAGAGCACCAGGAAAACTCCCATAACCAGGCTACCACATTTTCAAGACGAAGACATCACCTTTCACATCACACACACTCATATACTTACTCTACAATCATTGTTGTAGTGATGTGGGCATTTTTTCCCACACCTATGATTCAGTGACTCGTAATCATCTCTTTGCTCCGGATGACGTGCAACATCTGGAGGTGTTCTGAACGGCTGTTGTTTCGATTGGTCGGATGCAGCAGTAGGCGTGATCATAAATCCAGCGATGTGTGTTTTTTGTGTGAAGGTTTATTGTGTGGCACAATTTTGCTCCCCTTTTCCAGGAAATGGGAGAGAGAGCGAGAGAAACGAGACCGTGAGAGTTACAATTAAAATCATTTTTTTTAAATAACTTTGAAGAACGTGGTGAGGGAGAGACAGAGGGTAGACCCACTCTTGTACTTTTCCCCTTCGGCCAGACCACGACTAAATCAGCTAATTTTTATAGGCTTATTCAGAAAGACTAATGGAGAAAAGTGGATCACCTATGATTCATGTTCACGTAAGGGAATCTGAGTGGCTTTAGGGTTTCATTGGAAAAGCACTTTTACATAGAAGTAATTACTAAAACAAGTGACGATTTGGAGGGAAAGGCTTGCAGACACACTGTAATACTGCATTGTCTCTCTTGCACTATCTGTCTCTTTCACTAACTTTTATGGGAATAGTTTGTATATTAGGATTCAGTTTTTTCTTGACGCCAGTGGCTGTTACATCAGATGTCTGGTTTTGATTAAAAACAAAGGAATGTGTGCTGGCCTGACCTTATATTCCGTGCGATAAAGAATTCTAAAAAGAATGCGGTATTTGTTTAGCAGAGTTTATTCCGGCACTTTATGGAAATCATATGTCCTCCCAGTGGCTTTTTGATCAAGATGTGTGTTTTTATAGGTTTTTCTCTGTTGCAGCAGGATGTGAAACTACATATTAAAGTGCCCCTATTATGCCATTTTTAAAGGGGTCATATGATGCTTTTTTAAAGATCATTATTTTGTGTATTTGGTGTAACAGAATATGTTGACATGCTTTGATGTTCAAAAACACATTATTTTTCAAATACTGTACGTTATTGTAGGTCATCTATGCCCCGCCTCTCTCAAACGCGTCGTTTTCAACAAAGTCCCCTCCTTTGACAAGCCCAGTCTGCTCTGATTGGCCAGCTGACCCAGTGCATTGTGATTGGCCGAACACCACAAGCACTCGTTGGAAATGTAACGCCCCTTACCATTATCGCAAGCTTCAGCTTTCAAAGTAAATATCAAGACAGTTAATAATGTCGTTAGTTTTACCATCAGTTCAAGCCCGAAAGGGCAACAGAGTCGCGTGACAGACACAGTGATGATGCAGTACACAAGCCGCGGTTAAGACAGCTGACGTGCTATGATTTCTGACAGGCAGTTCGCTCTCCTGTGATGTGACCCTGTTCCCCTCACACACACACACACACACACAACGCGTTACTCTGCGCAAAACTCCGCATTTGAACAGTCAATAGCAAATACTTAAACTAATAACAAAACATACTTACAGTCACTGATTCAGAAGCGCCAGATTGTCATAGCAAAGTC